GAGGGGGGCAGTTTTGCACCGCTCAGCTCCCTGCCGCTGCCCGGGAGCCTCCTCTCGGGCTGCACCCCTGCGCCGTCCCCCAAACCGGCCCTTATCTGAGGTGTGTCACACGGGCGCGTCTCCTTCACATGTGGACACCCTCGGCGTCCGGCTGCGGCTTTCCCCATGTGACTCGATCTCCGGCACTCGTGTACACGTGTGCAGTGTGTACAGACGTGGCTACCATCTGCAGCACCGCGTACAGAGCGTAAACTCACTTTCGGGTCTTCCTCCGGGAATGCCTGCCAGTAACCGGCACTGTAATCCTTCTTTCAAAACGAGAACTTCTTAACTCGTTAAGATCTTAAATGCCCAACGTGTTTATTGAGTCTCGGTCACTTTCTCACCACGGGGACACAATACCTGACCCCCACTTGATCTCATCCCAAAGGCCAAGGCGCGGCTAGGAGAACTTGGCTCACAGTTTAGCCAAGTCAGCCACTGCGAGGCCAAGGGCCTGGACAGCGGCAGCCTCTCGCGGTGCAGGGGCTAGGAAAGGAGAAGTGTGGAGGAGCGGGAGGACCTAAACTTTCAGGTTGTGCGGTTGTGGCCTTAATTCCGGGGCTTTGAAATTCACTAGTAAAAGCTCACCCCTGGAAAGCGAGTGGTCAGGGGCTGGGAAGATTTCCAGGTCCGGGTAGCTCTGATGAGGCTTGCTGAGCCGCAGGGAGGGAGATTCACCTGTAGGGGCCAAGGTGGAGCGCACAGAGAAGAGTACAGAAGTACAGAGCTCACAGAGCAAGGAAGGGAGTCTGCAGAGTGTGGCCTTGGTGTCTGCAGCAGAATCATCCCCAGCTCAGCATGGAGAGAAGCCACACAGGAGGAAGAACCACCGGCAAGGAGCAGAGGAAGGGTGCGGGACCTCCAGCTGCAGGGCTTCCACAAACAGCATGAAAATCCTATTTTTCCAAGGCCCAGGATGGTGCTGGCCAGGTACTGCTGCCACAGTGACACAGATAGGCCTCCCGGTAAAACTGCTCTGTTCTGACACTCAAAGTTTAGAAGCAACCTTCAGAAAGATCTAAGTGTTTCCTAATTTGACTGAGTCCCAGAGCAAGTCTCAAGAATGTTTACAGGCACACAAATATCCACCCTCCAATTAATGAGTTTTGCAATACTGGCGTGGAGTGAAAAATTACTGGTCATGAGGGAAGTCCATATTGCCTGGGAAAATAAACCTAAAGTGACCCCCAAGTAACAGCTACTATAATTTTATTTTTTAATGTTCTGGGAGGTATTATAAAAATTAGGTATATAAAGTAGAGACATGGACGATATAAAAACTAATCAAAATCAAACTTTTGGAAATAATTTAATGCCTGAGATGAAACCATTTGTCATCTGAGTTTGTTTCTGAGCTTCACTGTTTATTCACAGTTACCAAGGTCCTTACTCTCCCTGTCTTAATGGCCTCACCTGTGAAATGTGGGTAACAGTTCTTTTTTTTTTGTACCGGGGATTGAACTCGGGTCCTTGTGCTTGCAAGGCAGGCCACCGATCCGCTGAGCTAAGTCCCCGGCCCGGGTAACCGTTCTTTACAGTGTTACATGGGGCCTTGATGACAAGGACACCATGGGGGAAAATAGGAAAAACGTCAGCCGCTCACTCCACTCTTGTATGGCAAAATGTCAACAGTAGGCAGAGGCAGGTGCCCCCAGTCCATGTCAGCTGGATTTCAATAAAACAGAGCCAGTGGCTGTCTAGAGGGTACTTGTCAAAAAAGGAAAAAGCTCTGGCTCCTTTCATCTCTTTCCTGTCTCCAGCTACTCTGAAGGTCGAGGCTCCTGGAAGCAGAGAGGAAAGCAGAAAGAGCAGGCGCTGTGCTGCAGCACGATGAAGGGAAGCCGGTCTTCAGAGGGAGCTGCTCTGCCACACGTGTCCCTGTGGCCGTCAGCAACGCAGGAATCTGTCCCCGCCCGGCACCTGTAGAGCGGCTGCAAACACGCCTCTCTGTGCCTTACATTTGAGCAAGAACATTGCCTAATCTATTTTTCCTCCTCCACTCTTAATAGATCGGAGCACAAAAGCCTGAGAGAGGGTGACCTGCCAGACAAAAGCGCCTTTGAGTCCCTTGGAAGAGTAGACTTGGAGGAGGATGGAAGGGATCCAAGTGCCCCTATTATTTCCACTTGCACTAATTAGACATTTTTCTGTCAGCTATTGAGCACTGCTGAGAGGCCAAACTCACGGAATTCATTTCTAAAGTGTTTACAGAAGTTTGCATCTGTTTGTGTCTCTTCAGGAGGAAAATAAGCACTTCAATAGCATTGTGGAAAATCTAAACGAAGCATCCTATTCTGGAAAACCCGATGTCCCGCAGCTGCGTAATTTAACTGTGTGCGGGGCTCAAACCTTGCATCTCGCTCCAAAACCTACTGGTGCTAAGTGTGGAGAAGTCAGCTCAGGAGAATCTTTTCTTCCCTTTCATTTGCTTTGCTCTCCCTCTTGAATCGCCACACGCTGTGAAGTACACACAGATTTGGGTGCGGATCTGGTGCAGCCCCCTCTCATGTCTCCACCAGCGCTCTGAGAAATGAATACCCACTTTCATTTGCTGCCAAGCAAGCGGATAGTAAAATTCCTCAGCAGCAGAGCAGAATACATCTCCCTTCCGGGATTCTCCCTGAAACGCAGGCCAGGGCCGCACTCTGACATCAGAAGGGGAGAAATGAAAGAGACCAGAGTGTGTGGTAGGGAGAGGACATGAAGTAAGAGTCTCCCTACACAGCAAAGTGTGCCTGGGTTATGCACAGATAGATTAACATGAGAGAGCCCCTGCCTTCCCCATCCCCCAAAAAAGGAAAAAAAAGAAAACAAGACAAAACCCTAACCCACTGACTACATGGGCACTGCCTTTGAAATGCATATTGATCTACAAAGAATTTGATTCAGGACTCTTTTTGTTTGGGTTTTTAGGCCCACATCTGACCTGCCATTTTAGATGACTCAAAATATGATCTTTTCAGGTTGTGTCACAATAACCAAAGTCTTGTGTTTCTGGGATGAGCAGTCTATCTTGTGATCAGAAATGGACTAGAATTCTGTTCCTTGTGCTCCCCATGGCTGACTTAAGGGGAAGATTGTCTGAATAGCCCCCAAACTGCATTTTTCTTGCTTCATGATCGTGTTTGAATGAAAACATTTGGGTGTGCATAAGAAAATGTACTGGGTTTCTACAGAGACAGGTTCACGAATGTGCGCACGTGCACACACACACGCACACACACGCTCACGCGAGTTGTGTTTTCACATCTGTTTCCAGGATGGGAGATAGGGGATTCTAATTGAGTTTCAGGCACAAAGGGAACTAACTTCATGGCTTGGAAGCTGAGTCAGGTGGTAAAGGAATTAAACTTCACAATGAGATTTCGATACACAGATGATTGAAAAAATGCTAAAGAGCCTTTCGTAAGAGCTTTTGCTGCACAGCAGCCGGGAAAGCATGTGCTGTTTTCACAGTTCCTTGAATTAGTGCCGGCCCCTCCTGACACGGAGCAGCAAGTTTGGGTCCCAGCTATGGGTTCAAAGCCACGATGTGTTCACAGCAGTGACAATGGCAGCTGTGCTCGAGGGGGCCTGTGCAGGGGCTCAGAGCCGAAGCCATCTGGCACTGCAATTGGTGGAGCAGTGCAAAGGGAAATTATTGCTGCATAGCAAATCGGGAGATTGGGAAAAGCAAGGGGAAGATGCAGAGGGGAGGGTCACGTCCGCAGGGAGGCATTAGCCAGATAAACAGGCAGAGAGCGCCTGCCACCCGTACAGTTACGTGCCGACAGCAACAGCAGGGTGAGCAGCCCTCACACTGGGTGCGTCCAGGCCAAAGGAAGACAGCCTGCTTGGCTCCTTATTTCTACCCACTGAACGTGACAAGGAGGAGAAAAGGAAAATGAAACTTTCCGAAGGCCCATGCCCAGGTCCTAGTAACATTTTAGTGGTCTTTCCTGGATGCAGGAGGAAAAGGCAGATTCAAGCACATGTGGCCAAAAGCTGCAAACTTTTCTTCACATCAATAGCTACAGACTATGTGTGGGGGTCATCTCTCCCTGCTTACTCCTCTTCCCTCTCTCAGATCTACAGTAGATGGAGTTGGTCGTCTGTTAAAGGGAAAAGAAGGGGTATTGGAGTAGCCGCCTAGCCAGGGCCCCGGGATCCTGGTTGTGTGGTGAGAGCTAGCTGTCTCCTCCAGCCTCAGAGGCCAGGCCTCTGGAGGTGCCTGCGCTGTGGGGCTCATGGCTGACCTGCTGTTAGGAGGTGGGGTAGCTGTGAGCCTGACCCAGAAGGTTGCACCTCCCTGTCTGGCCCCTCCTTGATTCTCTGCTTCCTGTCCACCACCATGCGAGCAGCTCTTTGGAGCAGCCAACTGTGGACTGAAATGCAAGCCCAAATTAACCTCTCCTTTAAGCTGTGGGTGTTGATTATTTCGTCCGTGCCCCGAGAATGTAACTCAGACACTGGTGAGCCTCTTGGCTTCGGGGAACTGTTGGCCTGCCTGCCTTAACTCTCTCTGGAGGCCAAGCGCTAGGGCCACCTCGATTCCTGTCACCATTCTCATTGATTCAACGCCTACAGCAATGACTCACCCAGCACACCAGCCCCTCTGGCTCATGGCCTCTTCATCCTCAGTGTCGTTCTACTGTGGGAGGCTGTGTTTGAATGTTGCCCACCAGAACTCACATTAGAATCTTACTCCATCTTCAGGCATTGAGAATGTGGAAACTCGATGCATTGACTGTTTGGCAGTGTGACCTTTGGGGACAATGAAGGGACATCTAATGGACCATGGCTTGAGAACAGGAGAGAGCTGAGTGAGGCCTTCCTGTCTTGCCACGTGACTTCCTGTGTTGACGTGAGGCTCTGCAGACAGTCAAGGAGGTGCTCATCAGATCCGTGCCTCGATCTTGGATTCAGAATCATGGGCTGAATAAACTCTCACTCTTTGTAAATTACCTGGTCAGTGGTAATAAGTTATCACGGCAGGGAATGGACCAAAAAACCCGCCCCAATCACCTTTGGAAGAGGCCTTTGCTAACTATTCCTCTAACACACTCTGACCTCACTCCCTGTCCCATGATGCTGCTTTTTCTGTCTTCATAGCCCTTCTTATTCTCCGGTATTTAATTAGATATAAATATATATCATTAATACCACGTGCATAATATTTTAACATCAGATATATCTGGTAACATCATATACATAACACCAGACGCATTTATCTACAATAGTAACTATGTCTATCTCCCTATATAATGCTTGTTTCCTGCCATCCCACAGGAAGCTTTTCATTTACCTTGCACTTTAATGTCTTATTAACTTCGTCTTATTAACTACTTTATCCTTGATGTCTTAAACTAGTAAGAAGTTGTGAAAACAATAAATTAGTTTTTGATTCACTAGTTGTTTGATCTATACAGAGCTGTCCCAATAATATGTCAGTTTTAAGATGATGATTTCTTGTGCGAAGCATAAGTGAACATATTTGGTGGATCAAATTATTTTTTCAGAGAGTAAAACATCAGATATGTGTAACTACAGAAGATCAAAGCAGGCAACACCAAAGATGGAAAGGATTTTGTTTTCTAAAGTAGCTCACTTTAAAAATATATATTTTTAGCATTGGGCAAAGAGTCCTAACATGCTTATTAGTTATTTTAATGGTCATATGTGCTGTGCAGAGAAATTTT